GCTAAATCATCTATTTTAGCCCATGCTGCTTCTCGTTCTTTCACTTTTAGTTTCTCTTCTAGTTTCTCTGCTCTAAATTATTTAGTGTTATCATCAGATAGTTTTTGGTTCATCTCCAGGAAGAATTTTAGTGCAATTTATATCAAGCAATGTATTTTTTTGTTCCAACCTATCTTTATTTTTTTACTGAAGTATAATTGACATACAATATTACATTAGCTTCAGATGTACAACATAGTGATTCGATATTTATATACATTATGAAATGCTCACCATGATGTCTAGTTGCCTTCTGTCACCATACAAAGTTATTACAATATTATTGACTATATTCCCTATGCCATACATTACATCCCTGTGACATTTGTTTTATAACTGGAAGTTTGTACCTCTTAATACCCTTCACCTATTTCACCCATCCCCTCAACCCCCTTCCCTGTGGTAACCAACAGTTTGTTCTCTGTATCTATGAGTCTGTTCCTGTTTTGTTTTGTGTGTTAGTTTTTTTTTTTTTTAGTTTCCACATATAAGTGAAGTCATATGGTATTTGTCTTTCTCTGTCTGACTTATTTCACTTAGCGTAATACCCTCTAGGTCCATCCATGTTGTCACAAATGGCAAGATTTCATTCTTTTTATGGCTCAGTAATATTTGATTGTGTATATATACCACATCTTCTTTATCCATTTGTTATGAGAGGTTTGGGGATTTGATCAGAGATGTAAAAGACACTTTCCACTCCAAACAAATGGACTGAAGGTATATTTTATTATATAGAGGATAGTAAAGGCGATAGTCTGCAAACAGATCCGAATAGGTCAAATATTAAGAAGGAAAAAACATCAGCCCGACTGGAAAGGGAAAACATCCACATCGGCTGAAGAGAAATGACACAAATCAACTGGAAAGAGAAACACCAGGTTGACCGAAAAGAGAACATATCAAATCAATTATTCACAATATCCACGCCCCACTGCCGGGAGAGCCCTGTCAATCGACGCGGCTGGGCAAGGATCACACGTCCTGGGCAAGGTGTCCCTTCCACAGGTGGAACTCTCACCAGGTCTCAGCTTCCAGCAGTTTATATAAGCAGTTACAGAGTTTACAGAGCAAGCATCCAGTGTTTCCATGCACAAATGGTTATCAGTGGCGTACGTGCACTGAGCCCCTTGGCTAACGTCCCAGCCCAGTAGTTGTGTACGTGCATTGTTTTCTTTGGTTATCGTCTTAGCCCGGCACAGATGGCCAGTCCATCCCGTGCTACGACGCTCCAAGAGCCTTAAACTGTTACAACTTGCAACTCCCTCCGTGGGAGAAAGGCCAGTTTCCGGGAAAAGGCCAGTTCCCACCACACAGAAAGCAGCTTTTATATTTCTTTTTGTGCTGGCGGCTGTAGGTCAATGGAGCGGCCAAACATGGCTGTACTCATGTCAAGACACCATTCATCTATCATTAGACATTTCGGTTGCTTCCATATCTTGGCTATTATAAATAATATAATACTGCAATAGGGGTGCATATGTCTTTTTGAATTACTGTTTTTGTTTTCTTTGGATAAATACCCAGAAGTGGACTTGCTGGATCATATGGTACTTCTATTTTCAATTTTTTGAGTAACCTCCATACTGATTTCCAAGGTGGCTGCACCAATTTACATTCCTACCAACCGTTCACAAGTGCTCCTTTTTCTCCACATCCTCACCAACACTTGTTATTTTTTGTTTATTTTTTATAATAGCCATTCTAACAGTGTGAGTTGATATCTCATTGTGATTTTTATTTGCATTTCCTTGATGATTAGTGATGTTGAGCATTTTTTCATGTGCCTGTTGGCCATCTGTGTGTCTCTTTGGAAAAACGTCTATTCAGGTTCTCTGCCCATTTTTTAATCAGATTGTTTGTTTTCTTGCTATTAAGTTGTATGGGTTTTTATATATTTTGGATATAAACCCCTTATCAGATATATCATTTGCAGATACCTTCTTCCATTCAGCAGGTTGCCTTTTTGTTTTGTTGACGGTTTCCTTCACTGTGCAAAAGCTTTTTAGTTTGACGTAGTCCCATTTGTCTTTTTTCTTTTGTTGCCCTTGCCTGAGGAGACATATCCAAAAAAATATTGCTAAGACCAATGTCAAAGAGCTTACTGTCTAGGTTTTCTTCTAGTTTTATGGTTTCAGATCTTACATTTAAATCTTTAATCCATTTTGAGTTGATTTTTGTGTATGGTGTAAAATGGGTTTCATTCTTTTGCATGTGCCTGTCCAGTTTTTCCAACATCATTTATTGAAGACACTATCTTTTCCCCATTGCACACTCTTGGCTCCTTTTTCCTAAGTTAATTGACCATATACATGTACGTTTATTTCTGGGCTCTCCATTCTGTTCCATTGCTCTATGTGTCTGTTTTTGTGTCAGTACCATGATGTTTTGGTTACTATGACTTTGTAGTTTGAAATCACGGATCCAATTATCTTTAAATTGCAGTGCAAGGGCAGAAACATGATAGGAAGAGTTTTTGCTGCATTGTCACCGATTAAACTTGGATTCTGAGTTGACAGTTACCTTCTTTCAGCACTTAAAATATGTCCCCCCTCCTTCTGGCCTCTACAGTTTCTGATGAGAAATCCACTGTCATTCGAATTGTTTTTCTGTTACTGGTATGGTGTCCTTTCTCACTTGCTGTTTCCAGGATTATTCTTTGTCTTTAGTTTTCAGGAGTTTGATTATTATCTGTCTTAGACTGGATTTATTTGTGTTTATCCTTCTTGGCATTTTCATAGCTTCTTGAATCTGCAGATTTATGTCTTTTGCCAAATTAGGGAACACTTTGAGCATTCTGTTGTGATACTCTGAATTTTTATTTAACTCTTGTATTTTACAGGCCTCCCTTGACACCACTCTGGTGGGAGAACGAAGGTCACCACCACCTGGTTATTTGGTGGGGTTGAGAGTCCAAGTTACTTAGCCTCTACTGACAGCTCTCGGGAGGGGAATTTCTTGTTACTGCTGGGCAGGGGTAAAATTTCAGGCACCCCACTAGGCCACTACCACTGACAACACTTTGTCAGGAAGGGAGAGGCATTCTATTACTGCTTCCACATGGCTGCCACTGACGTTGTGCCTGGGGAGGCTCAGTACTACCAGGTGTGAATGAAAGTCCCAGCTCCTCACACTGCCTTCTCTGACACCTGCAGGGATAGAGGGGAACCTCATTACAGTCAGGTGAAGGTGGAAGTCTAGGTTCCCCGCTCAGCCTTTGCTGATAGGGATGAGGTGGGATCCACAGTTTTTTCACAGTGTTTGGCTGGAGTCAAGTGGTTATTTTCTTAAAGGTTTTCTGTCCTTTTCTTAGTCTTTTGGCTAGAGATAGCAGGCTTTATTGGGCACTTTTTTTTTTATCAGCACCCATTGGCATTTTGGGTTACCAGCTTCTCCAGCACCCAGGCCAGGATATATGAAGCAAAAAGAAAACCTAAGAAAGTCACCACTGTGTCTTTCCTTCAGCTGCAAGGTCCCTAGCTGGACTGCCTTCTGTCCAATTTTCAGAGTCTTATATTTGTTTCATAGATAATATCAAGGGTTTTTAGCTGTACTTGGTGGGACATATAGGGAGAAGTGTCTCAACTCCATCTCACCCCACTACTGATTCACTGGTTCACTTTCATTTATGGAAAATATTTTGATGGGTATAAATTTCTGGGCTGATCATTTTTTTCTCTCAGTACTTTAAAGTGTTGTTTCACTATCTTCTGACTTGCTTTTTTTTTTTTTCCCCCTGATGAGAAGTAATTATCTTTGTTCCTCAGTACATATAGATCTTTGTTCCTCCAGCTGTTTTTAAGATTTTCCTTTATTACTGGTTTGTAGCAATTTGATTATGATGTGCCTTGGTGAGGTTTTCTTCATGTCTTTTTTTTTAATTCCATTGAGCTTCTTCGATCTGTGGGTTTGTAATTTTCATCAAATTTTGAAAATATTTAGCCATTATTTCTTCAAATATTTTTCTACTCCCTCACTCTCACTTCTCCTTCTAGGATTCTAATTACACATAGTTAGGCTACTTCATATTGTTCTATAACTCACTGTTCATTCTCCATCTTTTTTCTCCCTGTGTTTCACTTTGGGTGGTTTCTATTTCTGTCTTTGAATTCACTAATCTCTTCTTTTGCAGTGTCTAATCTGCTCTTAATCCAATCCAGTATATTTTTCATTTCAAATATGTATTTGTTATCTCCATGAGTTCAACTTCCCACTTGCATTTCTCCTGTGATCATTCAGAGGCCACTAGGTTATGGCCTACTTTCCCCAAAGATATCCATCAGCTCTTTGAGATCTCAAGAGCCCAGTTTTGCACTGTGTTCAGTTTCACTGAGCTTGATGTTTCCCTGCAGATCCCCATCTGGAGGGCGCTGACCCTGAGTGGGCCTCATACACAATCAAAGCTGCAGAGAATCCAAGGACACAGAGGAGGAATGGGTTAGGGAGGAAACCATCTCATCATTGAGGGAAGCTGTTCTGGAGTCCTTGAGGACTCTGACCGACTGTGGAGTATACGGCCTTCGGACATTAACACCACGGAATTGAGGCAAAGGAAAACATGCTTTAAAATAATAATAATAATATCTATTATTATTTTGATAAGCCAAGGAAGGAAATTCTGGTCCAAAGACTCAGACATTATAACGAAAGCATTATCAATATTTCGATCAACAACTTGAGTGAAAGACAAGCAAAAGCGTGGACACGCACCTACCAACTCTGCCGGCGTCTGGAGTTTTAACTAGTTACAGGAGGCCTATCTGTTCTCTCAATGGCCTTATTTCTTTAGTCACACGGAAATCTTCCGAGGCAAGGGGTGTGTCATTTTTCTTTGTGTCGCTAGTGCTTGACACACAGTCACGGTTTCTCAAACTGAATTTTTTAGGTCACCCAAACTGTCGATAAACACTGCGGACTCCATAAATTCAGACAAAGCGGAAGGACGGAGGACCTCAGGCGCTGAGGATTCTGGGCGTTGTAGTTCCGACGCCGCCGCTGCGCAGGCGCACTGGCGTGCGTGGAGGCCGGCCCAGCCGAGCCGGCGCCATTGCTGGAGGCGTTCCCGCCCTGCTCTCCGAGTGCCCTCAGTTGTCCTCAGTTCGGCCGCCAGGTATTCGTTGCCCCGGGCGCCGGGCCCGGGTTCCCCGCCGCCCCTCCCTCGGCGCTTGGCTCCCGGCGGCGTCCGGGGCGTGGCCGTTCCCTCCAGAGCCCCTGTCCCTCAGCTGACCCGCCCACCGGAGAGGCGATTGGGGCTGGGCCTCGCGGCTGGGCGTCGGCTCAGCCTCCCCCAGCCTCCCTCGGCGGCGGGCTCGCGGCGAGGGGGTCGGGAGCGCCGGGCGCGGGGCCTGGGCTGGGGGCTCCGCTGGACCTTCCCCTCTTCGCAGCCCCGCGCCTTTGATGGACGGAGGAGGGGAACCCCGCGTGGCCGGAGAAGGGCAGTTAGGGAAACAGGGCGAGGCTGGAGGAGCGAGAAGCTCCGTCCTGGCTTCCGAGCCGGCAGGGGTGGAACTGCGTTTCACATCCGGTGACCTGACAGGTGGACGTTCTCCTGTCTTTGGGTAACCGAGAGAGCTTTCCCTAGGCAGCTCATTTTACGGCATTTCAAATAATCACTTCTAAATCGCTGGTCTCTCCCTGACGTGACAATGGTATCGTTGCATTGGTCGGGAAATGCTGGACCGGTCCGTGGCGCTGAAGCTCTCAGCAAGAACGTGCTCCCTTCGTTATATTAAAATAACTACACTGACTTAGGATCCACAGCAAGTGACGTTTCTCCTTAAGTCTTTGATACTTCCGCAGTGCTTGGGAGGACAGGGCTTGGGTGAAGTCACAAATCCAGAAAAAATATCTAGGAAATTATGACTGGGGGGAAATATCGGCCTAGATATTTTCTGCGTAATGTAAAGGGCGAAGGTAGTAGCGTGCAACGTGGTTAGCCTCATTTGCTAATAACTGATTCACTGTGCTCAAGTGACCTGCCTATAATCACATTTCCACAGTAGTCAAACCAAGATTAGAACTCGGGGGTGTGGACAGCCGCTTTGGAATTTTATTCCTATACCAAACTCCTATGTATGTATAGGTACTTATTGTCTGCTTGGAAAGCATAGAAAAGTAGAAAGAAGGGTAAATATCACAGGCTTAGGTCTCAGTAGAGTTTTGGCTTACTCGCAGTCTTTTCTCTATGCATTATTTTTACACAGTGGAAATCAAACAGTATATTGAATGTTAAATAGTATTGGTTATTCTGATTATGAAACGAGAAAGATGTTTATTGCACGGTTTGATGGTTAAACATATTTGACTAGCTTTATCTATATGTCATATTACCAAGGAGGAGTTTATTAATCTTTACAAATTTAAAAACAAATGATGACTCGGGTCATTCTTAATGAGGTTTAAAGATATAGAAAACCATTCCTGTAGTTCCTGGGAATTGAAAATGTCTTAAGTTGCTCTCTGTAGGTCTGCTTTTGTGTGTGGGAAAAATAGTTTTTGTTTATTATTCCTCTTAGCTCATTTTTTGTTTCTAACCTTGTAAAACTAGACTTCTTAATTTGGGGGTCAGCTTGGGTTTGAGGGACGTCAGTCTTCAGACTCCCTGAAACAATATGCAACATCATACATGCACGTGCATTATTCTGTGGACGAGGTCAGATTCTGAGATGGATCCGTAACCCCCTAAAAGTTAGAGATCTACTGGTGTTGATACGTAGTCATGTTACATATTTGTCAGAATAGCTTCAATTATTGTTTTAAATTGTGTTCGAACTTGGCACTGGTGTTGCTTCTGAACTCTGAGATGAAGAATGCTTCAAGAAATACCAGGCTTGAAGCAGAAATTCAGCCGAGGAAACTAATGCAGGGCCACAGCCTGCCTGGGCTCTAGAATCCTCTTGGTAAAACATATTTCATTTGGATTTTCAAGTGTGCAAAGAAGAGTTTTTAATTTGAGGTTCAGCAGTTAGCTTTATAACGGTATTTCTCAAGGTAAGAACCTGGGGTGCTTGTTAAAGATAAAGATTTCTGTGCCTGACACCTAGAGTAGAGATCCTGGTTTAGATCTTGAATGGAGCCAAAGAATTTCCTTTTTAATAAGCATGCCTAGTGAGCTTTTTACATACTCGGATTTGAGACCCCTCTAATTATATGTGGGAGTTTTCTTGGAGAAGAGTCATAATTTTTGTTAAATTTGCAAAGGAATCCGTGACCTAAAACAAGGTAGAGAAACACTGGTGTAAGGGAAAACCACTTTTATTGGTAACCCTGAGGCTTCAATATAGGAATCCTCTCAGATTATTCTTTCTTTATCTTAGCTTCATGCTACACTGTGTTTTTCCTCCCTCAACTTCTTATTGTTTCTCTTCCATTGAAACCTTTTCATCGTGCCTAGTGAAACAGTGTCATGGAACAAACTACTCTACAGTCTTAAGATAGTCACATGTTTTCTTGATTTAACTAAACCCTGCTCTCACCTGCTTAGCTGATATCTTTAAATTTTTCCTTCATGACCATTCAGTCTGTTAATTAGGAAATTAACTTGGTAGCTTTAACAGAGTCCAAGTGGTTTGAACAAGAAAGACAGTTTATTTCTTTCTTATATAAAAGTCTGAGTTGGTAGGTGGCTGGCAGTGATGAGGGTGGGTAGGAGTAGGCAGCCCTGGTCCGTTAGGTCTTCTGGAGCCCCAGGTTCCACTCGTCTTTTTGTTCCACCACCCCCTAGGGGATGTTGTCCTCCCTGTGGTGGAAGCTGGCTCACTCTCATACTGTACATTCTGAAAGGCTACTGGAAGGAGAAACAAGCTGGAGGGCAAGCAATTCCCTTTTAAAGATGTGACCTGGAAGTTGCATACATCTCTTGTTTTCAGATCCCATTTGCTATAATTTAGTGACGTGGGCACACTTGCCTGCAAGGAGGCTGGGAAATGTCTCTAGGTGGGTGGCTTTGTGGCCAGCTGAGACTTCAAACCTCTGTCAAGTAGAAGGGGGAGACTGGATGTTGGAAGCAGTTAGCAGTCTGCTAAATTGGCCTGCTTAAGTTTTCTGCTGATTGAGTCAGTTTTAGAAAATTTTTAAACAAAAATTGTTCTTTGGGAAATTTTATTTTTATTGACATACAGTTTTAAGATGTTTTATCTGTTCTAGGCCCTTTCTTGTTTCTGTTTTTGGTTTGTTGGTATTTTTTCTTTTGTGACTGGCCAGTGGCTTGTATATTTCATTATTTAGAGAGTCAGCTCTGCCTTTGTTAGCTGTTTTTGTTTGCTTGTCTTCTTATTCATTAGTTTCTTCCTTTATTATTTCTTCCTTATGGCTTACTTGTTAATTATTTTTCTTCTTTAGTTGAATGTTTGATATTTTCATTCTTTTTAAAAATTTTACTTGAAAGTATTTAGGGATATAAATTTAATCTTCTTAAAGCTTTGACAGCAGCCCATGCATTTTTAATCTATAATACTCTCATTTTTTAATTCACTAGCAATTGTAATTTAAAGTTCTCTCTTTGACTTAATAGCTACTCAGGAGAGTCTATTTTAATTTCAAGGTGATAGGGTTTTTTCCCCTCCCTTCAGACTTCCATTTACATTTGTAATTCTGTTGCATCATGCTTGGAGAATGTAGTGTATTCAGTTTCTTCTTTTTGATTGAGATTTTCTTTGTGGTCAGTGGTCTTTATGGTGTATGATTAATTTTAGCAAATGGTCCATAAATGCTTGAAAATAACTTTTGAGTATAAATTTCATTATACTCATATCTATTGAATTTCTATCTCTACTGTTCTTTGAATTTATAACAGCTTTGCTTTATAGAAGCTAGTGGTTTTTCAGAAGTTAGTGGTTAATTACTGCAAGTATCATTTCAGATGAGCTTCTGATTGGCACAAGGTGTAAGATTAGATTAAGTTCTGCTATGTTTGTTGAGCAGAAACTACTGACTCTTGTGGGAAGTAAGGTGCTCATTCAGGTCAGGAGCAGATTCAGCGTGTGTAAGCATAACACAGTCTCCAGTTGAGGGGCCATGCAACTGCTGGTAACACTTTTTGCACAATGTAGGGTTTCTGAAAAACTCAAAATTTGCTATGTCACTGCCCTTTTATATCTGAGGCTAGTGTTACCACTCTGGAAGAATTTATATTAACATTCTGTACCATTTGGTGTAAGGAGCTATCATTCATCAGGCACCCCTGATTCTTGAGCCAGACTCTGCACCAGCAAGGCCACATCCTCATGTAAGAAGGGGGAAGTGGAGGGGAAATGGTGCCTAGATGTCCCTGATGGCTTAGTGGATGGTCATGTATCTAGCATCATGGCTCATATGTTTGTGTTTTTTGATTGACTACCAATCAATTAACTCATATTTGTAGATAAATATTCTCTTATTTTTTATTATTTGTACCTTTTCTGTTTCCTCATAAACTTATGGCCTTTCTCTGTTAATCATATTCATTGTCTTTGTTTCTTTTTATCATATTCTAATATGAGTGCTATTTTTCTTCTTTCCACCTACTTTGATGGATCCTACTATATGTTGTCATACCAAACCATGTGTTTAAACTGCAGTGCTGATCCCAAATTTAGGTGTCTCCATTTTCTCTTTATTATTATGAACCTTGGCTCGAATATCTTGGAATGTATCCTGCAGTGATGATCTATTTTATTTTATTTTATTTGTAGTGAGAGCTTTATTTTTTTTTCATGCACAAAGATATTTATTACATCATTTTTAAAAATTGAGATATAATTGACATATAACATTATATTAGTTTCAGGTATACAACATAATGATTCAGTATATGTATACATTGCAAAGTGATCACCACAATAAGTCTAGTTAACATCCAACACCACACATAGTTACAAATTTTGTTTCTCATGATAAGAACTTTTCTACTCTCTTAGCAACTTTCACATATGCGACACAGTGTTATTAACTATAGTCACCATTGCTGTACATGACATCCCCATGACTTATTTATTTTGTAATTGTAAGTTTGTGCCTTTTGATCCCCTTCACCCATTAAGTGCCCCCGCCACCTCTGGTAGCGACCAAACTGTTCTCTGTACCTGTGTTTGGATTTTTTTTTTTTAGATTCCACATATAAGTGAAATCATA